CTTGCCTTGCACACACATCATTAAGTATGTCCTAACAATCAGTATGACATACATGCACATTTTAAAGTTTTGCCACAAAATGCAGCCAATCAAGCGCACTTACAAAAAGCATTAGCAAATTGGTCAAATGACTAACCTTACTCTAATACCACTAATGTAACACCCTTCTAAACCCCACAGAATAATATGTCACATATCAGAGTAAGATAACATGCATCTCAAATAAGGGTGTCACATATAACTCAAACATCACACATACACCTGTCATGCTTAATAACACTTAAATTAAATTCATGTTTTTCATTCACTTTCATATAGCATGTAGCAACATAATCACTTTCATTCATAACGAACATAATAAATAGTCTCATAAATAACTCATTCATATCACCACTTAGGCATGAAAGCTAAAACTCCATATAATTCAAATAATGATAGCAAAATAAAATAGAGTACATAAAGTATCTCTCAAAACATGAATCAAAATGTTCCTAGTGTTACATGACCAGAGCATGAATCAAACCAAAATAAATAAGGAAAATAAAGTAAGCAACTCCAACAGCTACCCTCGTGCTAGAAGCAACTCTACTCTTCAATATCTGAGCGACGTCGTATAAAATATCATTCCAACAGAAGGGTGAGAATTCACATGATTATCAAAATCATACAATAATATATAATACATAGCATAATTATTTCCACACTTCAAATGCTTTATAAACATAGCATCACTCAAGGAACCATACTATTCATAAGTACATACTCACAAATCCACAATTTCACCGATTCATCAAATTCACATAATGCGCATAATCTCAAAATGGAGTTATAGACACAATATGACTCAATACTGGACTCGAATGCAATACTCATGCATGTGCTACCAATCACTGTTACTATTTTTTTATTTTTACATTAAACCGGGTCCGTCCTCTAGACTAATAATACACAAAAGCCTGTCCTCTAAGCTTCAAACCCCTCTCTAGGTTTGGGATAAGTCAGTAGTTCTCACGGAATTAACAAGTATTACCTTTTGACTACAATAATGCATGTGCAAGTTCAACAACCATATGCAATTAAGATCATCCCTCAATCTTAACATTCGTGCATATTTTCAATAATTCATCATAATTGAGTCACCACACAATTACACATACTTGCACATATTTATGAATCATCCACACACAATTTACTTTCAAATGGTATACAACATATTTTACAATACAATCACAACTGTATTATCATTACAACAAGCAATAACTATCATAAATTTAATATTTTCACACACCAAAATATACTTATACAAGCATACACCCAAGTATTCGATAAATTATACACAAATAATTTCACAACCGGCAGCAAACAGTGCAATAATTCATTAATAAAACATATACATAATTGGCTTCCCAAACATATTAAATATAAAAATATTGGGTAACCAATTCTATTAACTATATTATGTTATTGCCCTGTGCGTTAGCTTTCTAACGCTTCGAACGGGGACCAAAACGGACTTAAAGATCAAAGTTCACGTCCATTCTGCCACCACTCGCTATAGGTTCGCTACTGCTCGCGTCGCGACTTTCGCTATGCAAACTATAGTTCGCTATACAAACTCTCTAGGACAACAACCTAGAAAAGTGCAATTTTTGCAGTTTAGAGGCCTTTTGTACCTCCGAATTCGATTCTGTAAAAAGTTCCAGTTCCAGAATTCGAAATACTACAATTATGTAACAACTATAACATCCCACAACACATTTTTAAGGATCATACATCATACGTCATGTAATCATCAATTTCAAAACCATGGAAATTAGGGATTTTTATCCTAAATATGATACTACCCATCATACACTATCATACATTCTCATAACCATGTAAAGACCTACCTTTATCTTGGTTTCTTGATGAACTATTGAGTTTCCTCCTTAGATTTTCTTTTCTTTTCCCCTTTTCCTTTTCTCTATGTTAACTTCTTTTCTTCTTTTCCCCCTATTAACTTTATTTTTTTCTTTATATATAAAACCCTTATAACAACTAATTCTAGTAACTAATGTGCTTACTAATCATACATCCACCTTTACTCTTCACATTCTCATCCAATAGGCCAAATTATCTTATTTCTATTATTTCTATATCATTTCCACCAAATAAAATAATCCAAATAAATCAATTACGCATAAAATCACACAATTAATTAACTAATATATATATATATATATATATATATATATATATATATATATATATATATATATATATATATATATATATATATATATATATATATATATATATATATATATATATATATATATATATATATATATACACACACACACTAAAAATTAGGATGTTACAAAGTGCGTGTAACCTTTATCCCACCGCCTTTAGGGTCCTAAAAAGAGGTAGACAAAAAAGAGTGCAATAGGAGAAAAATAGAAGATAAGTGTTTTCATTCACGTTGAAGTAAATTTGTTACAGTGAGACAATAGAATAACTAGATAAGTAAACCTTTAACTATGACGCTGCTTTATCTTTCCTCCGGGGTTATGGTCGGATCTTTTGAGGTCCAGATTATGGTCGGACGAAGGTGAAGTACCTTTAGAGGTTCTTTCCCCGACCCTTAGGAAAGTTGCTCGGTTCACTCTCTACATCTAATAATATTTTTAGGACCGACGATGTCGGATGGAAGACTAGAGATAACTGCCGACCAGAAGTGCCTTTGGAGGAGACTTGGTTTCCTTGCTACCATAGTCCGTAGATAGCTTCCCTGCGTGTGGTCGGTGAGTCCCATTTACTTTTATTGTCTGACCATGGGGATTTGTTTGTCGATTTCTATGGGCAGGCGATGACGCTCGCACGACGTTTCTTACAAGCCACATCCTCCGGACCTGGTGGAAACTGTTGGACTTACTTGGAAGTTCGAGGACGTTTTTTGTTCAGCATTCTTGCTATTCGATCATATTTGTGACCGAACACCTTTTTTTTTATGATGCAATTAATTATCCTAAAATAAAATCAAGTAAAAGATTTACCTAAGCATGGCAAAAAAAAATTCCAAACTTTGTTGGACCCAGCCACCCTTGCCTCAAATTTAATAGGGAAAACTTATTTAACTAAGTACGGGTGAAGGAAAAACTAGGTTTTTATTATGGGTTTATGGTGGGGATGCTAATACCCACTCTGTATCTACCTCATCCTTCTCTGATCTATTAAATTTACTTTATTACCTTTATTTTATTTTTAATAACTTTATTATTCATTTACCATGTTAAAGATACCAAGTTTATTAAAGTTAATGTTTTTTTAAAATACAAATTAAATACAAATAACCAAATACTATAATAAAAATATATATTAAAGAAAAATTAAGATCATGAAAATTGAGATTGTGATCAAGGAACAATTAGGGGTGAGAATAGACTGGGTCGAGCTCTGGGTTAGGCTTTGCCAAACCTGAGTATGTCCTGCTGAAAAATTCAAAGACTAAGGCTGACCTGTAGCCTATCATAGGCTTATTTTAGGCTCGAGCCTGACCTTTTCGAAGGCCTGGTTAACCTACTAGCCTACTTAAAAGCCTACTTCATCTGAACATGTTTAAATTAGAAAATCAACTAATGTTAAATAGACTAACAAATTAAAATATCAATGAAACTAAATGTTTGTTTTCATTAACTCATTAAAGTTTAGCTATTAGTATAAATTTGATGATACGATTTGTTAGAGAATCAACTTATGACAATGTTTATAATGTTTTTTCAACTTATTTTCATATGTTCTTCAAGATAACTAAGTTTTATTTTCGTATTTGAATTTAAAGCAAAAAATACAATATAATAATAATAAATTTATTAAGTTTCTTTTAAATAGACTGACCTGATAGGTTCAAAAGGTTTTTCTTACGGCATGTGGTTTAGTCTCTTTCGCTAAATAAGTTTTTTAAAAGTTTAGGTCTTTTCTATTTAAGAAAAAGTCTAGCCTGAACTGAACCTATGTAAACTAGGTCGGAAGTGAAAAGTTTACTTCATACCCCTACTTTTATCTCTATACCCCTACATTTTATAAAAATACCAAATTTGCCCTTTTATAATTTTAGCTAATTTATTATTTTATTTAATTTTATTTTGCGTACCGGAAAACTTTGCAATAGAGTTCTGATAGTCATTTTCTATAATTTTTTTGTATACCCAAAAACTGTGCAAAAGAGTTTTGGTAGTCAATTTTTGTGTACCGGAAGAGTTTGCAAAAGAGTTTCACTAGTTATTTTTTTAACTTTTTTGTTGTACCAAAAGACTTTGCGAAAGGGTTCCGATAGTTGATTTTTGTGTTTGCAAAAGAGTTCAGGTAATCATTTTTTAAAATACTTTAAAACTTTTATATTGTGTATCGGATGACTTTGTAAAAGAGTTATGGTAGTCAATTTTTGTATACATGAAAACTTTACAAAAAAGTTTCGGTAGTCATTTTTTAAATCACATTTTAATTTTGTTTTGTGTACCAGAACTTTTTTGCAAAGTCTTCTCATACACAAAAGTAAAATTTAAAAAATATTTAAAAAATAAAATAATAAATTAATTAAAAAATATAAGGATAAAATTGATATTTTATATAAAATATAGAGATATAAATATAAAAGTATGGGTATGAAATAAAATTTTGATAGTAAATCTATATTAGTTGGCCTGATTTATTCTTATCTTAGGAACAATACAATAAAATTAAATTTAAAAAAATAGTTTTGTACGGTGATATACCAAAAATGACCCCAATTAGTTATGCATGAATATATATTCGGGGCCGTTCAATAATTTATATAATTAAGCTTATGCAATTAATTACATTTTCTCTTTTCAGTTACTATGGTAAGACGAATAGAATCCAGATTGGAGCCCTAAAAAGAAAGTAAAACCCTAAAATACAAACAGTAAGAATAAAAACCGACGCAGTGAATTCAAACCGTAAGTAAAACCCTAAAATACAAAATCGAACCCTTAACCATGGCGGTAGCGGTAATGACGCGGAAAAGATTGCGCGTGAGAATGGAAGCGACGTCAGTGTCAATAAACATGTTTCTCCCGGAGGAATTAATAATCGAAATCCTTTCTAGGATTGAGTTGAGCAACCCTCTGGAATTAAGGTGCGTTTGCAAATCGTGGAAATCGATACTCGTTGATCCTCAAGTCGTGGAGAGTTACCTTCAGAGATCGTTCAGTGACATCCTTGATCTTACTTCCACTGCTATGGAGCACGTGGAATCTTTTGAATCACTTAATATTTACGTTCTCGCCGATCTTCAAGATGACGATGACGGTGATGATGACGATGCGAAGGAAGACGGGACTAAATCGTTGGTGAACAAGGCGGCACAGTTGGATAACCTTTTGGTGATGATAGAGTCTATGAAAGAGAACTTGAAAACTATGAAAGTGGATATGATAGCTTTGAAGAAGAGAATGAAGTGTTTCGAAAGTTTTCTGAAAATTTTTCTGAAGACAGCACCATCCTCTAGTGTTTCATAAGTTTTCTGAAAATTTTTCTGAAGACAGCACCATCCTCTAGTGTCTGAGATTCTTTGATTCATTGTTTTGTTTTTTTAAATGATGCAACCGACCATTAGTTTGCAATAAGCTATTTTTTTTATGGTAAGATGTGCATTCAGATATTGTTCTTATTCGGATGATTGTAAATGAATGGACTAGTCAGTTCAAAGTTGAATCCCAACGCACCATTGCTTCTTTAAAAAGATAAATAAATTTTATCTTTTAATATAATTTTAATTTTAAAGTGTTAATAATGACATAAATTTAAATTTAAAAATTTATCTAAACCCTTAAAAAACAACTCTTCAATATAATTCAAATGTATCTAGGATTATCTTCTTCCATACTTTTGATTCATGCTTAGGTCTTTGATGTTTTATTATCAAAATTTCTCTAAACCCTTAAAAAACAACTCTTCAATATAATTCAAATGTACCTAGCATTATCTTCTTTCATACTTTTGATTCTTATTTACGTCTTTGCTGTTTTACTATCTTTGTTCATGGTGGTTAACATCTCGTTAAAAATGTACATTTTTTCTATCTTTGTTTCTTTCAAATAAGACCTTGCCCCAAGTCCTCAAGTGTATTCACCAAATAATTATTTATTTACTTGGTAGATTGTTACCTGTCTCTTACTAAGTGTTTGAGTAAGGAAGTCTAAAACTTGTGTATTTGAGCAAAGAAGTCTTTAGCTTGTATGCTAGAGCAGGAAGTCTTAAACCCGTGTGTTGAGCAATGAAGTCTCAAAATGTGTGAGTAAAGAATGGACTAGTCAGTTCAATAAGCTATTTTTTTTTATGGTAAGATGTACATTCAGATATTGTTCTTCTTCGGATGATTGTAAATGAATGGACTAGTCAGTTCAAAGTTGAATCCCAACGTACCATTGCTTCTTTAAAAAGATAAATAAATTTTATCTTTTAATATAATTTTAATTTTAAAGTGTTAATAATGACATAAATTTAAATTTAAAAATTTATCTAAACCCTTAAAAAACAACTCTTCAATATAATTCAAATGTATCTAGGATTATCTTCTTCCATACTTTTGATTCATGCTTAGGTCTTTGATGTTTTATTATCAAAATTTCTCTAAACCCTTAAAAAACAACTCTTCAATATAATTCAAATGTACCTAGCATTATCTTCTTTCATACTTTTGATTCTTATTTACGTCTTTGCTGTTTTACTATCTTTGTTCATGGTGGTTAACATCTCGTTAAAAATGTACATTTTTTCTATCTTTGTTTCTTTCAAATAAGACCTTGCCCCAAGTCCTCAAGTGTATTCACCAAATAATTATTTATTTACTTGGTAGATTGTTACCTGTCTCTTACTAAGTGTTTGAGTAAGGAAGTCTCAAACTTGTGTATTTGAGCAAAGAAGTCTTTAGCTTGTGTGCTAGAGCAGGAAGTCTTAAACCCGTGTGTTGAGCAATGAAGTCTCAAAATGTGTGAGTAAAGAAGTCTTTAGCTTGGAAGTCTAAAGCTTGTGTGCTCGAGAAAGGAAGTCTTTTACTTGTGTGTCTATTGCTTGTGTGCTTGACCAAATTATAATCTTGAGTAATTATAATGAAAATCTCTTGTAAGTACAACGGGACTGAATTACTCTTGATTTGTGTGAGGAATCAGGATAACTCTGTGTGTTAGTATTCTTTCACTAGTACAAAAATATATAGTAGAGATTGTTAAGTCAGTTCACCTACGTAACAACCAAAATCAATGCCAGCTTGCCAAACCAAAACTTATCCTGGGAAGAAACAAAAACCATATCATTCCTTTTGATTCACAACAATACACAAAATGTGGACCTACAGTCAAGATGCACGACAAACCGCATGCTGCGCAAGGACGGTTCACCAAGCACACTACCTCGCGCCACATAACTACCTGCAGAATGGGCACAACTCCTAAAAAGCACTCCAGTCACCACCTTTCCAAAAACGAATATGCATAACAAGATATATCAGCAACAAATTGACACTCATTCTTTTCATTCAAAAGACCAAAAACACCCTTCAGCCTTCACGGTAAACTTGCCAATCAAATTCCCCAAGCCATAGCTCCAAAATTATTCAAGCTGTACATCCTATAAATTCACAACTCCACACATGACAGTAAGACCACATAAATTGGAAGGATGTCAAAAAATGAAAAGGGTTGGTCATTAAATTTACAACAATACACACACAATGCAAAAACAGCAACTGAGCCTTTCACGCCACAACTTGACCCCACAGTCTGAGGAGAAGTACGTACGAAAATTCAGAAACGCGACCAACAAAATTCGTACATACCCCTTTCCAGCTCACCACTCGCATTTTCGGCCTTTTACACAACTCATCAATAAGATGAAAGCGACAAAAAAAAACAGCAACGGAAAATGGGTACAAACATGACAAAAACTGAAATTCCTCACCTTGCGGGCTACAAAAGGACCGAGTCTTCTGCTTTTTGGGGGATAGAGAGGATTCCCTCACTCTTGAAATTATTATTCTTTCTGAAATCTCTTTGGAACCTACGAAATTTTTCAATCATCGTTTTCAATAAACCCGACGACCCTACATCAACCTTCGTGAACCCTTCACCTTCTTCGAAAAAACCCCTTTCCTAAAAAAAAATCAAATCTCTCTTCCATAAAGAAGGACCAGATTAAAGCTGAGAATCATAAGTTAGAGAGAGGATCAGAGCGAGACAGGGCTGGACGGGGATTGGCGCGCGGAGGAAGTTACAATCGGAGGTTGTCATTTGATTCGATGTGGTTCCTTTTTATTTTCTCGCCATTATCTTTTCCTTTCAAGCTATTCTGGGTTTAGTTTAGTAATGACATGTGACCACATGTTTGTCATCTTTCAATGTCATTGTGTTACATGGATCAATTGGTTTTCGTTTGGTGTGAATACTGGGCTGCACGACCCATTCGCTTGCTGCATTTATGACATGTTTTGATGATTTAAATAGATGATGGGCTTCAAGCCCAGAGGATTCTATTTTAATCACATATTCAGTCTTAAATCAAGACACCCCTCCCCTCTTGTTATGTTTTTTTTTTTTTTTTTTTTAATGTCACTCTTTTTTTTATAAAAAAAAGGGTTAAGTTTTGATAGTTTTTTTTAAAGAAGAGTAGTAGTTCTTTGCGTTTTTTTAACATCAATTTTTGTGTTTTTTTCCAATAGTCCACTAAATTAATTTTCTTTTCAACTTTTCACTTTCCGATTTTATTCCATTTTTATCTTTTTCGGTCGATGACGAGACCTTCGAAATTATTATCAGTCAAACTATTGATAGATAGTAATGAGTCCGAGACCACCCACCTTCTTTCCTTTTCATTTTTTTTCTCATTTTCGATTTTATTTTATTTTTCTAATCGATGAAGTCTTTGATTCAAAAATGTTAGTTTCAAGGTTGTTAATACCTTCATTATTTCAAATATATAGAAAATGATCATTTGGATCATTTTTCTATACTTTGGGATCGTGAAAGGTTCCCTTCGATTAATTAACATAAGATTTGTGATTAAGACGAGATTTGAACCTACTTTCAACTCCATTTCTATTTTATTTTATTTTTAGCGGTCAATGAAGTCTTTATATTTGTAAACATCGACTTATCGAAGTCGCTAGTGTTCATTATTTCAAATCTGTAGAAAATGATCATTTGGATTATTTTTCTATAATTTGGGATTGTGATATATTACCTTTGATTAATCGACACGAGTTTATGATTAAGACGAGATCCCACTCTTTTGAACCTTTTCCATTTCACTAATCACTAACCTCCGACTTTAATTTCTGTTAATATCTCACTATTTATATTCCCATATATATTTCGCTGTTTACATTTTCTGTTCATATTTTCTAATGATATTACCTTGTCCATATTATCATCATTATTCATATTTCATTCTGTCATACTACATATTGTCATCTAGTATTTTGTATTTATTTCATTCAAAATACCAAAAACACAATAAAGCTATCAAAACCCTAAAAACCCTAATTTGGTGGACTGTCGATCATTATTTTGGGTACTAAAGTTTTAGCTTTGTACATAAACCCTAGCTTGGATACTTTTGTCCGAACTCTTTTCCGTTTATTTAGCTTATGACACCTCGCACACACACGGCTTTCTCTTGGGCTACCTAACAATGAGACCATTTACTTCTTGCAATCCCCTATATTTTACATGTATCCCTCTCCCGTTACCGTGTAACAGTTTAGGCCTTTTCATGCGTGTTTTCAAAATAAAGAACAAATGAGGCTTGATCCAATGTCAAGTCATTTTTCAAACTCTTTTCAAATTGAACCACCTTAGGGCTTCGCCCTCCTTCCCTCAAACCACTCACCTTGTATGTAGTCAATCCTCATAAGTTGATTGCCTCGCGCATCGCCATCAACCTACCACGCTCTACTCACCACCTTCACTTTTCAAAACATCGTTCCAAAAATTTTCTCTTAAAACCTTGGTCTCGTACCAAGTGCATTTTCAAAACTCTTTTCCTAATAAAACTTGAATGGTTGTGGAGTGGTTAGGCGTTGGCCTTCTCTTATCCCGAGTGCTGACATTACCTTTAGGTTTCACTGTCATAAATCACTTACCATTCAAGATCAAAACATCTTTAATAAGAGAGTGAAGTTTTCTTTGTATTGAACTAAAGAGGGAGGATTGAGTGCAAACTTCTTCCTCTCTGTGTATCAGGATACTCAATGTAGAGTGTGTGGTCTTGATACTCGTCTTTCAACATGAAGACGTGACTACATTCACCACACCTTTTCATAATAAATCCTATGAGATAAAGAATTGGGTACTACCCGCAAGGGGGTACTATGCGAGGACCTATTTCACCTTAAAAATAACTTTCACAAATCAAACATGACATCTTGCCTCAAATGGTGAAAACTAATCTTTTCAAAAAGGATATGTTACGTATGTTCTATTGCAAATAGGTAACGCCTAAGACTCCACAAGTGAGCTGCAAT